CAGGTGTGCCCAGGTGTGCTCAGGTGTAACTCCAGGTGTGTTTCCAGCCCCCCTTCGTGGTGACCCTGGACGAGGTGGAGCTGATCCCTGCCCCAGGTGTACCCAGGTGTATCCAGGTGTATCCCAGGTGTATCCAGGTGTGCTCAGGTGTAACTCAGGTGTATCCAGGTGTATCCAGGTGTTACTCAGGTGTATCCCAGGGAATCCCAGGTAGCTCAGGTGTATCTCAGGTGTATCTCAGGTGTATCCAGGTGTTACTCAGGTGTGCCCAGGTGTGCTCAGGTGTAACTCCAGGTGTGTTTCCAGCCCCCCTTCGTGGTGACCCTGGACGAGGTGGAGCTGATCCACTTCGAGCGCGTGCAGTTCCACCTGAAGAACTTCGACCTGGTCATCGTCTACAAGGACTACGCGCGCAAGGTGACCATGATCAACGCCATCCCCGTGGCCTCGCTCGACCCCATCAAGGAGTGGCTCAAGTGAGCGGCTTTGGGGCAAAATACGCGAATTTTGGGGGTTTTGGGGAATTTTTGGGAATTTTTTGGGAATTTTTAGGGGTTTTTTTAGGATTTTTTTCGGTTTTTTTGGGGTTTTTTTTTAATTTTTTTTTTGTTTTTTTTTATATTTTACTCCAGATTTTTAAATTATTGTTCTTGAGGTTTTTAAAGGTTTTTTGGGAAAATTTGTGTGGGTTTTTTAGATTTTTTTGGGAATTTTTGGGGATTTTTTAAAATTTTTTTCAGATTTTTTGGGATTTTTTTGAGGTTTTTTTTCACTTTTTTTATGTTCCTCGGGGGTTTTTTCATGAGGTGCTTTTAGATTTTTTTGGGAAATTTTAGGAAATTTTTTGGGAATTTTTACGGATTTTTTGGATTTTTTTAGGATTTTTTTCGGGTTTTTTTGGGGTATTTTTTGAATTTTTTTGGTTTTTTTTGAGGTTTTACTTCAGATTTTTTCATTATTTTTAAATTATTTTTCTTGAGGTTTTTAAGGTTTTTTGGGAAAATTTGTGTGGGTTTTTTAGATTTTTTTGGGAATTTTTGGGGATTTTTTAAAATTTTTTTCAGATTTTTTGGGATTTTTTTGAGGTTTTATTTCACTTTTTTTTATGTTCCTCGGGGGTTTTTTTCATGAGATTCTTTTAGATTTTTTGGGGGAAATTTTGTATGGTTTTTTTAGGGATTTTTTGGGATTTTTTGGTTTTTTTAAATTTTTTTCGGGTTTTTTGGGGTATTTTTTGAATTTTTTTTGGTTTTTTTTGAGATTTTCCTTCAGATTTTTTCATTTTATTGTAATTATTTTTTCTTGAGGTTTTTTTAGATTTTTTTGGGAAAATTTGTGTGGGTTTTTTAGATTTTTTTGGGAATTTTTGGGGGTTTTTTTAGGATTTTTTTCAGTTTTTTTGGGTTTTTTTACGGTTTTATTTCACTTTTTTTTATGTTCCTCGGGGGTTTCTTTCATGAGGTGCTTTTAGATTTTTTGGGGGAAATTTTGTATGGTTTTTTTAGGGATTTTTTGGGATTTTTTGGGTTTTTTAAATTTTTTTCAGGTTTTTGGGGGGTTTTTTTTGAATTTTTTTTGGTTTTTTGAGATTTTCCTTCAGATTTTTTCATTTTGTTGTAATTATTTTTTCTTGAGGTTTTTTTAGATTTTTTTGGGAAAATTTGTGTGGGTTTTTTAGATTTTTTTTGGAAACTTTGGGGTTTTTTTTTAAGGTTTTTTAAAAGTTTTTTTTCAGATTTTTTGTTGTTTTATTGAGGTTTTATTTTGGATTTTTTGGATTTTTTTTCACTTCATCCCCGTGGCCTCGCTCGACCCCATCAAGGAGTGGCTCAAGTGAGCGGCTTTGGGGCAAAATACGCGAATTTTCGGGGTTTTGGGGAATTTTTTGGGAATTTTTTGGGAATTTTGGGGGGTTTTATTTCAGAGGTTTTCTTTTTTGGCACCTGTCTCACCTGTCTGTCCCTCACCTGTCTCACCTGTCTGGATCTCACCTGTCCCTGTCTCTCACACCTGTCCCATCTCACCTGTCTCTCACGTCTGTATCTCACCTGTCCCTTACCTGTCCCTCACCTCTGTCCCTTACCTGTCTCTCACCTGTCTCACCTGTCTCTCACCTGTATCTCACCTGTCTGTCCCTCACCTGTCTCACCTGTCTCCCCTGTCCCTGTCTCTCACACCTGTCCCATCTCACCTGTCTCTCACGTCTGTATCTCACCTGTCCCTTACCTGTCCCTCAC